CCCTGATCATATCATCCTCCAAGAAGATAGCATGTCTTGTTTCTACAAACTTCGTTTGTCTGTCAGGATAATAGAAGCGATAACCTTTTGACTTTTTTGGATAGCCAATGAAATGGTAGCTGACTATCTTGGAGTCTAGCTTTCCTATGTTTGGGTTAAATACCTTTGCCTTAGCTAGACAACCCCACACACATAAATAGTTTAGTGAGGGTTCCTTTTCTGTCCACAACTCATACGGTGTTTTGGGCACCGACTTACTTGGCACTCGATTAAGTATATGAATGGCGGTTTTTAACGCCTCCATCCATAAACTTATCGGTAAGGTAGAGTAACTTATCATGCTTCTCACCATATCCATTAAGGTATGGTTACATCTTTCAGCTACTCTATTTTGCTGAGGCTTGCTCGGTGTAGAATACTAGGCTACTATGCCATTTTCCTGTAAAAACCTTGCAAAAGGTCCAGGAACTTGGTCATATGGGGTGTGTCGACCGTAGTACTCTCCCCCATGGTCGGACCTTACTACCTTAATCTTTAAGTTGTGCTGATTTTCTACTTTAGTCTTAAATATCTTAAATTTATCCAATGATTCTGATCTTTCTTTAATTGGATAAATATAGTCAAAATAAGAATAGTCATCTATGAATGTTATAAATGAATCATAACCATCCACACTCTTCATAGGAAAAGGACCACATATGTCTATGTGGACTATTTCTAAAATTCTTGCGCTTCGTTTGACATCTTTCTTTATTTTCTTAACATACTTTCCTTTTAAGCAATCTATGCATTGTTCTAAATCTAAAAATTCTAAAGGCAGAAGAATTAATTTCTTAATCAATCGCTCTATTCTCCCCCTCGAAATATGGCCTAAACGACAGTGCCATAATTTCGAAGATACATCATGCACTCTCTTCTGCCTATTTGTTACATTCATAGACGAAGATGCATTCTCATTCTCAGTACTTCCATCATTCACATTCTTAGAAAGTGATAATAAATAAAGCTTGTCTTGTCGGAAGGCAAGACCAACACATTTATTATTATAAACAATCTGACATTTGCCATTACCAAAATGGCAATCATATCCATCGTCATCTAAACGTGAAACACTTATTAAGTTTCTTCACAAAGAGGGTATAAATAGAACATCTGAAAGCTTAAGTAGAAAACCATCAACTAATTTTAGAGAAAGATCTCCAATGGCTTCAAATCCATTTGCTACTTTAATTCTTTTTTCTCCTCTTTGCAGGGTCCTCCTCGTACGGAATCCCTGCAATGAATTTACAACGTGAACAATTGCACCTGAATCAATCCACCAAGTAGATTTTGCATAACTTAAATATAAGGATTCATCTATGAATGTAATGAAATCCTCACCTCTCTTCAGCAGGCTCTTCAGGAAGTTTGGACAATCCCTCTGTAATGTTCATGCTTCTTGCACCATTTGCACTGATCCTTCTCAACTTGAGCATTGTTGTTCTTCTGATGATGCTCAGTCTGAGGGGCTTTCCCTTGAGGTTTGGCATTTTTATTGAAGTTCTTTTTCTTGTCCTTCACAAGGTTAGCACAGTCACCCTGTAAGGACTTCAGCCTTTTCTTTTCTTGAACACACATTGTGATGAGCTTCTCTATGTCCCACTTATCGGGCTGCATGTTATAGTTAACAATAAAGGTTTCATATTCCTTTGGCAAGGAAGCAAAAACCAAATGAATCAGGAACTCATCATTGAGCCCCAAATCCATTGGCTTCAGCTTCGAAGCCGTGTTGCTCATCTTCAATATGTGCTCTCTGATACCGTCATCAGTATATTTTTCAGTGAACAATTTCTTGATCAATGTACTGGCATAAGCCTTTGAAGAGCTAGTGAACTGACTCTCCACCTTCTTAAGGTACTCCGTGGTGGTATCACAGTCTAGAATATACCCCCTTATAGCATCTGAAATTATGGACTTAGCCACCATTAAGCACTTGCAGTTTGAAATGTCCCATTTCTTGCGTTCGATATCATACTTTATCCGCACTTCTGTATGATCTCATTGCCTAGCAGTGAAATCAGCATCAAACTCATTTTCTTCCCTCACCGGGTCCACTAGCTCAGTAGGACACGAGGAGGTAAGCGCTAGGTTATTTTCAGATAGCGCAAGTGCTAGCTCATACTTCTCTCGCCATACCCTATAGTTGTTCCCTTCAAGTGGTGGTGTGTGCGAGATGAATGTCATTGGGTTGAGTCCTGAAAAACACCGTCAGAGATAGTGAGAAAATATGACATTATAATTGCATCCTTTAATTTAACGTTGGTCAAAATTAAAACATATAATATTCTTATACACTAATTCTACATCATCGTTGGGCAGAAATATAATTAATGCATGGAAAACTTATAATTAAACATTATAATATTGCTATTATCAACGTTGGTCAGAAAAATAACAATATTATAATTTACTGATTAAAATTGACTACTCTTGAAATTAAATTCTCCTGTTGGTTCGAATTTAATTTGAAGATTATAAACTTTAACATTGCAGCGGAAACATGAATAAATAATAATTATCTACTTTTTAGACGTATTTTCTTATTCATATCTACTTTCTGGAAAAAAGGTAACACGTTGGTGTAATTTTACCAGAAATTTTAAACCTTCGAAATTCATCAAAATTCATTCAAATCTGCTTCTGAAAATTAAATAAACTTCAAATCATTTCTTGCTGTTCATTTTGGCCCAGCCTGCAGCAGCAGTAAACGGCCCAACAGCAACAATGCGCGGCCCGCCCTGCAGCAGCAGCTCACGGGCACGCGCTCGCGGTGCCTCCCCCGCGCCCAGGCCGTAACCTGGACCTGGGCCGGGAAAGCTCCTCCCCGCCTAGGTCGATTCTGGTCCGACGCGCTCTGAGCCGTCCATCTAGATCCGACGACCAGCTGACTTCGGGAGATCAAAACCCCAGCCGGCCCGTGCCCCGCAAACCCTAATTCATTCTCTTCTCCTCCTCTCTCTCAGCCCCGCGATGACACCGAGTGAGGCGAGGCGATGACGGCGCCGTCGCCGGCCCCCTCGCCGTCGCGCGCTCCCCAGCGGGTGAGCGCGTCGCCATCAAGTGGCCTGGCTACGGCGCCCTTGGCCAGAGCACGCGCCCGCTCAACGTGTAGCGGTGGCTCAACCCTTCTTCTCGCGCGCCGACGAGGCGACAGCGCGATGCAGCGGCAAAGTAGGCCTCTTCCTCTTCCCCTTTTCTTCTCTGATTGGATTTTCTTTCTTTTCTTCTCGGATCTATCCGATTTAGGGTTGGGGATGGGGTTAGGATCGAGATTAGGGTTAGGGCTTCCTTACTGTTCATCTTCCCCGAGCGGTTCACACGGGTTAGGGTTAGGGTTTGAGTTGCTTTTCAAAACCAAGACCCTTTCTTACTGCTTTTCTTCACCCGATTTGGGGTTAGGGTTCGATGAACCCTTTGTTTAGATCCAAAACCGAATCTATCATCTCCTTCTAAATGCTGCTACTCGGTTTTCTTATCCGATAGACTAGATCTACACCAAGTTAGGCGACCGATACCATTGATAGACCTAAAACAGGATCACTGGCCATAGATCTAGCATGTTTACTTGCTTTTGGAATAAACAGTGAGTTCTAGAACATCTACTAGTATGGGATTAATAGATAGAGTGTGAGAGAGAGGGGTGAAGGGGGGGTGCAAACCATCGGTCGCCTTCGAGGAAGACGGGCTCGCCATCACGGTGCTTGGTGACAACCCGATGGCGGTGCTGTGTCGAAAGGCGGTGGTGCAGTGTCGGTGGGGTGACTGTAGCTCAGGTGAACTTCGTGATCTGAGCCGCCGGCCCCCACCTTTTTTTATAGCGCAGTGTGACGGGGGCCTACCAACCATGTAGGGTTAGGCGCCTCCGATCAGGGCGTGGATCCAAGGGCCTAATTGGGCGTTGGGCCAATTGGATAGAGATCATCTAACATATTGCAGTTAGCATTCTTATTGCAAAGCCACTAGTGTTGTTGTTGACCGCTATTGCTATGTGGATGATTCAAGTGACAATGTGGATGATTCCAATGATAAATAAAAATGATAAGATAGTGATTTTTGGACAATGATATAAAAATGTATTTAATAATCATAGTTTGTCTCTATGTGTCATTTACATGCTTCTTTGTGATTTTCTATCATTAAATATAGTAATTAACTAAATTTATTTGGAGATTTAATGTTGCATGTTTTTTCTACATATCTAACCAAAATTGAGAAAATTTGACATACACGTATCCCATGACGACTTGTATCTAGGCCAGAGTGAGTACATTGTAGCTATTTTAACAGATGTCACGTTACGGCATTGCGCGGATGCCCTTATTAGCATGCCCTGAATTTAAATACAAGTCGTTCCAATAAATGAATATGGCTGTGTTTAGTTCGTGAATTTTGGGAAGTTGACTACTGTAGCACTTTTGTTTTTATTTAACAATTAGTGTTCAATCATGGACTAATTAAGCTCAAAACGTTCGTCTCGCAATTTCCAACCAAACTGTACAATTAGTTTTTTTTCGTCTACATTTAATATTCCATATATATATCGCAAGATTCGATGTGATGGCTACTGCAGCACTTTTTGAGAAACTTTTTAGAACTAAACAAAACCCTATTATATACACAAGTGACTCCAAAGCACATCATATACTCTGGTACATTCGTACTACTAGTACTACTTCACAGTTCAGTAGTTCGCACTTCACACTCTTTCAGAGCTGACACGGTATGGGCGTGCAGGATACGATACGAGCGCTAGTTCCCGCCGATTCTGCTTTGCCCGCGCGCGCCAACGCCAACTGCCAGCAGCAGGTACACCAAGAAGAGAAGAAACCATCAACTACGAGTGGCAAACGACAAGCAAACATCACTTCGGCACCAAACAATAATGCACGCTCCCCTACACGGACACCAACAGCGATGGATGGGATAGAACAATAATGGTGGCAGGAACGACAGCGACGACATCAAGCGGCGCGCGGAGTGTCCTCGCCGGAGGCCCAGACGATGTCCTTGAGCGCCGGCCGGAGCTCCTCGCTGCAGAACGACCGGTACTCCATGGTGTCGCCACCGTCCTTCTTCACGTCCACCAGGAGCACCGACGGCGCCACGCTGAAGAGCTCCGCGGCCACTGCCAGCCGCGCCCCCGTGCGCCCGCGCGACGCGGCCTCCAGACGCACGCCCCGCGATCCGCTCTTTGTCACGCGCATGTTGGCTCCGCGGCCGGTGACCAACGACTCCAGACGGGAGACCACGCTGCTGGCGGCCTCACGCGTCACGAAACGGACGCCGCCCGCGCTGGGCCTCCCTACGCCGCGGCCCTGGTCGAAGAGCGGGGACAGGTCGAAGCCCTCCGAGAGAGAGATGAGGTGGAACGCGTTCAGCACCTCGGGCTCTAACTTGTCGTCAGAGCTGGCGCGGCGCGCGTCCGGGGTTGCCCCGGGTGCGGGCTCCTTGAGGTTGAGGGGCGGCAGGACGGGCAACGGCTTCTGGTACCACGGCGTCTCGACGAGGCGAGCCACGGTGATGCGCGTGCTCGGGTTGGGGTCGAGCAGCCCGCCGATGAGCTTCCGGGCGTCCGCTGAGACCCACGGCGGGCGGAGGAACTCGCCGCGCTGCATCTTCCGGTACATGACCATGAGGTTGTCCTCGTGGAACGGCAAACTGCCGACGAGGAGCACGTAGAGGATGACGCCACAGGACCAGAGGTCCGCCTTGGCGCCGTCGTAGCCCTTCCCGCCAAACACCTCGGGGGCAACGTACGATGGCGTGCCGCAGGCGGTGTGGAGTAGCCCGTCGGAGCGTGCGTGCCCGGCGAGCGCGCTGAGCCCGAAGTCCGCTACTTTGAGGTTGCCTGCCTCGTCGAGGAGCAGGTTCTCGAGCTTGAGGTCCCGGTGGAACACCCCGCGGCCGTGGCAGAAGTCGACCGCGGAGACGAGCTGGCGGAAGTAACGGCGCGCGACGTCCTCCCGGACCCGCCCCTCGCGCGCGATGCGGGAGAAGAGCTCCCCGCCGCGGACGAGCTCGAGCGCGAGGTAGATCTTGGAGCGGGTGGCCATCACCTCGTGCAGCTCCACGATGTTGGGGTGGGACACCATCTTCATGACGGCGATCTCCCGCTTGATCTGCTCCGCCATGCCCGCGCGCTCCAGCTTGTCCTTGGCCACCACCTTGACCGCGACGCCGCGGCCAGTGCGCAGGTCCCTCGCCGCGTGCACCCGCCCGAAGTTGCCGTGCCCCAGCACCCGCCCCAGCTCGTACCGCCCCTGCAGCACGCTCTTCCCGTCCGCCGCCACCCCATCCTCCATTGCCAGCCACCTCCTTCCTTTCTTCGATGTTGATTCTTGGACACAGAAGAGTTGACCTGACCTGACTTTACCTGAAAAACCGGCGATGAGGCTGAAGGACCTACCCGTCCTCGACGTGCTTGCGGTGGCAGTTGCGGCCACCGCGCAGGCTGCGCTTTCCGGCAAGGTCAGACATTTCTCAGCATTCCTGTAGCAACGAGGCTGCGCTTTGCGGCTTGCGGGTGTCAGACTGTCAGGGCAACCCTTTTCTGGCGAGCTCAGACGCCCCCTGACACGAGACAGGGCGCCGGGCTAATATGGTGGCGCATACGGATCTTGGGTAGCGCCATTGGCTGTCGATCGGGATCGAACGGTTCCTCCGCGTGTGGGCACGAGAGGACGTGGAGAGAGAGAGCAGCAATGTGTGAGGATTTTTTTTTTGAGCAACAGCAATGTGTGAGGATTGAGTGGCGTGATCTGATGAGGTTGTTTGATGGGGCCCCATTGGGAGATGTGGTCGCGGCGCTGGCAGCTGGGCGCGGGCCTGAATGATTGCTGGGCCACCGTTATTAGCGGATCTAAGTCGATTCTCGTTTTCAAATGCCAAGCAGCGGCCAGTCAGCGTGGCCATGGCTTCTAGTCCACTTACCATAGACGTCCTGTAATAAAGGTTTACGCTGCCTACTTTTCTCGCTGCATCTCTCTATCTTTTTCCATTGTTGCTTTTACCACTCCTTTCCTCTTTGCAACCGTATCTTCAACTCTATTTTTTTTCACTAACCATTACTCCCTCGATCTTAAAATATAAGAGACCTAGTTTTATCTTAAATCAAACTATATTAACCTTAACCAAGTTTATAGAAAAGATGAAAAATGCGTAGGACTTTACGTTAACTTAGCTGGAACATTATCAAATATATTTTTTAATATACCTCTTTAATGTAGTAGATGTTGATACTCCTCTCTATAAATTTCGTCAAATTTAACATAGTTTTCTTGAGTTAGGACAAACTTAAATCACTTACATTTCATGAGGGAGTATATAATTAGAGTACCTTGCAATATCATCTAGGTTCACAAACTTGTAAATTGCACAAACACATCCTTAAACATTGTAATCGTGTCATTCCGGTCCGAATCATTTGTGAGCACCGCATCCCGCCACTGTCACATGCTATGGTCCAATTTGGCAAAGCTACCTGTCAGATACCGTAAAAAGGGGTACCCTAAGCAAGAACCGAAAAAATTACTTAGACCTTGTAAATATCGAAGCCAAGAGACAACCACGAGGCCTCGCCCGATTCTCCGATTCGCCCGAGGCCCACGCCGCAAGGCCTCGAACGAGGTACCAACTCTCCGCCTCGCCCGAGGCCCCCTTGCCTGAGGCCCCACCCCGCAAGGCCTCGGATGAGGTACCGATTCTCCGCCTCGTCCGAGGCCCCGCCCGAAAGGCCTCGGATGAGGTACCGATTCTCCGCCTCGCTCGAGGCCGGCTCGGCAGCTACCCCGTCACCACCGCCTCCACCAGGACGTCACGTCCAACTAACGCAACCAACCACTCCCGCGACGTCAGCCGAACGACGGCTCGACACAGCAGAGTGACCGAAGAGACGGGAGTCGCATCAACGCCATGCCGTCCGGGACGGGACAGGGCAGGGGTTACCCACCGCTGTGCTCGACACTGTGCCCACGACTGACACCCATGCGGCACTGTGCTACCTAACCCCACCTACTCCGAGGACAGTGCGGCGTGGAGAGTCATGTCCGGGTCCGTGTAGCCTCGGAATCAGCATAAAAGACAAACTGCTCCCTCCGAGCCTCGGCTACCCGCCGCCGCACCCCTATAGCCTCGGGACTCGCGCCCACCGAGCCCCCCCACAATGGTTCAGCTTCTGCACCGATGGGGCCTCGGCTCTCTACGCTATCGACATACAGCGACCAGCATGTCGTCCACAGTCTGCGTCATGCCCTGCGTCAAGCCATCACAGGAGCCCCCACGTCGCACAGGATCGGGCGTGACCGGCGCGTCGCTCCAGTGCACCGAGGACAAGACCACTCCGTCGACCATGCCGCCACAGTGACAAGCACAGGGCTCGGACATACCGCCTCCACCCACAAAACGCCACGTAGTGAACGCATGTATCGCCCCTGTCCTCCCCTTCAACTATAAAAGGGAGTGACCGGGGCCGTTTCTACACACGCACTCACAGAGACATCGCTCAGATAGACACACACGCGCAAGCAACGAGCAACACTCTGTAATACGCACGCTCCCTCACTGCAAGAGATCAACATCTCAAGCAACCCACGCCGTTCCACATAGAGACCTAGGACTAACTCCCTCGCTCGCCCTGCTTGTAAACCCCTACTACAAGCACCTCGGTGCAAGGAATACAAGATCGCTCTCTCAGACTGGACATAGGGCACCTATTGCCTGAACCAGTATAAACCTTGTGTCTCTTTGCATCACCATCCCGGATTAGGGGCACGCAGTACACTTTCACTAGTTGGTTGAGGATCCGCCGGTCCAAAACATCGACAGTTGGTGCGCCAGGTAGGGGACATGCTACGTGTTAGCTTAATCATCCCAACAAGTTCCGGATGGCAGACCCCGTGCGACCACTGCATCTCGGCACGTTGATCTGGTACGGGAGCCTAGAGTTCATGTCTCTTGGGTGTGAGTACGATATGGTACTCCTCACACCTAGAGCCCCACCGACCGACGACGACATCATGTACCAGCAGCCTAGGCGCAGACAGTGCCTGGGCCGCCGCTCGTGTCACGCTCGCCAGGTACGACGTGGGTGGGACCACCCTGACACCCTGCGAGCTCAGGGCGACGCACCGTGCTCCACCAGTATCCCACACCCGGCTGTTGGTACAGAGTCCCTGGTTGGGGACCTGTCCAACTTAAGCCTGGGCAAGGGAAAGACGCCGGTGGCGCACAGCAACGCCCCATCATCAAGCTCTGCCCCGCCACCTCCTGAGGAATCGACTCCGGTGGAGCGAAACCTGGCGATGGCACCATCCCCGTACCTCCTTCGGGTTGAGCAATGCCGCCGCCTACGCTTCTACTCACGCGGAGCCCTCAGGATGCCACCAATGTTTCGCCCTCGACCTCTTCGCCACAACCTCAACCCACACCCACGCTGACTCCTCGGAGGAGGACGAGGCGTGGGCCGGAGCGGACTTCTCCAGGCTTTGCGACCCTAAAGCCATGCGCCGCTTCATGGCCGCGAGCGACTACCGCTTCGGCTACTCCGACTCCGATGACGAAGGCACTTACGATCCCACTCGTGAGTGCTTCTACGTCGAGCTCGGGATGACGAGAGCGGGCGATGAGGACGAAGGGGTAGGCAATCGCTCCCTGCCCCACGAGGGGGCAGGCGACGCCACACCTCCGCGCGTCGAACCCCCGGTAGCACGGAACGAGAACCCCGCCCACGAGGAACTTCGACACCTTGACTTGGAGCAGCTCTGTGAGCTTCAGGCCAAGGTCTAACAAGACCGACTCCTTCTGCAGCAGCTCCGAGACACTCTCGAGCGAGAGCAGCGGGGTCGCGGTGATGGCGGAGCAGCCCAGCGGAGGGCTCGCGACGTCAACCACCGCATCAACAACGATGAAGGGGGCGAGCAACCCCCTATCTTCAATCGCGCTAGCCAGAACATCGCGGCAGCAGCGATGCTACTCTGGACAATGCCCGAGACCTCTCCCTCGGAGGGGCGATGGGTCCACGACGAGCTCCGAGACCTCCTCGAGACTACCGTGGTACAGCAGGCCAAAAGTTCCGCCTCTCGACGACGTGGGGGCGCCTCGGAACTACCCACGGCACCACATCGGGAGGATAGAGAGGCCTCAGTTCGTCCCGAGCCTGCTTGAGCACCAACTGCCAACAAGGCCCCCTCGGTGCACAACCGCCTCGGCTACCGACGCGAGGCGCAAGGCGACCATGATGTGGTCAGCAGGTGACGGTGCCACGACAACGATGGGCCCGCCCGAGGCTACCACCCGCACCGAGGCGGCAGCTACGATAGTGGGGAGGACCGCAGTCCTTCTCCTGGGCTGCCTGGCCCTCGAGTCTTCAGCAAGGCCATCCGCGGTGCTCACTTCCTGGCCCGATTTCGGCAACCGGCCAACCTCGCAAAGTACAGCGGCGAGACCAACCCCGAGCTGTGGCTGGCCGATTACCGCCTGGCTTGTCAGCTAGGCGGCGCGGACGATGACCTGCTCATCATTTGCAACCTCCCCTTGTTCCTGTTAGACTCGGCGTGAGCCTGGCTCGAACACCTCCCTCCCTTGCAGATCCACAACTGGCGCGACTTGGTAAAGGTCTTCGTCGGGAATTTCTAGGGCACATACATGCGCCCCGAGAACTCCTAGGACCTCAAGAGTTGTCACCAGAAGCCGAACGAGTCTCTCCGAGACTTCATCCAACTCTTCTCCAAGCAATGCACCGAGTTGCCCCGCGTCGGTGACTCGGAAATTGTCCAAGCATTCCTCTCCGGCACCTCCTACCGAGACCTGGTCCGAGAGTTAGGCCAGAACGTACCGACCACGGCGGTCGCACTCCTCGATGTCGCCACCAACTTCGCCTCGGGCGAAGAGGCTGTCGGGGCCATCTTCCCCGACAATGACGCCAAGGGGATGCGGAGGGACGAGGCCCCCGGGGCCTTGGCCCCCCACCTCCCCAAGAAAAAGAAAAAGGGTCGCCAGGGGAAGCAGGAAGTCCTCGAGGCTGGTCTAGTCGCAGTAGCAGCCGCAGATCGCAAGAATCCCCGAGGCCCCGCCAGAGGCCCTGGGCTCTTCGATGACATGCTTAAGAAGCCCTGCCCTTACCACCAGGGCCCGGTGAAGCATACCCTCGAAGAGTGCACCATGCTCCGGCATTACTATGCCAAGCTCGGGCTCCCCAACGACGAGGCCAAGAAGAAGGACGCCGACAATAGGGACAATGACAGGGACGACGGGTTCCCCGAGGTGCACAACACATTCATGATCTTTGGCAGGCCTTCAGCGTGCC